CTGATGTCTATAACATGAATACTAGACAAAAATATAACTTCCACCTACCCTCATCAACTTTATCAGTATATCAAAAAGGAGTCTACTTTACTGGCATAAAAGTGTTCAACAATCTGCCACAAAGTATTAAAAACTTGGGCAATGATACTAAAAAGTTTAAATCAGAGTTAAAGAATTATCTACATGCTCATTCCTTCTACTCTTTAGATGAATACTTCAATGTAAATAGAGAATGATGTAAAATTAAGTTAGATTAATTTTTAAGCTAAAATTGCCTGTACTTATGTATGTAACCTTTTGACTTGTTCTGTATCCAAAGGTACTAACCTACTTAGGATTTATAGAATGTAAATAAATTCAATTCAATTCAATAACCCAGTCCATCAATAATGCAACAAACTGACAGACTGTGTTATACATAGACTTTTAATATGGCTTGCAACAGGATGCTTAAGTACAGAATCATTATATACCATTTTCTTAGAAATTGATACTAATCTGAGAAACTGGTAGCATTATTAAACAAATCTTAGTTAAATATGTACACAAAGGGTATTATATAAAACTTGGTGAGACATACTTGAAGTGAGAGTATGTGACGTTGTGAGTAGGAGATATTTTCTCCAGCACAAGAACATCTTGGCCATGTTCTTTGAGCCGGACGGTATTGGCTTCAACATCCCTCAAGATGCGGTTAAAATTTTCCTTATCCACACGTAAGAAGTGACAGTTGTTTTCCCTCAGCACTATGGTTGCTGCCCTGTGGAAGAAGAGGACAAAACTATCAGGATAGTTCACATCTCTTGTGAAGTAAAAATGTAACGTGAAATAATATATGCAACTGGAGTATTACAGTAATGCCCACTTTCTTTTGTCTGCTGTGACCACAGCCAATCTCCATTATCATTGATATATTGGGTTTTTGGACTTTATCCATCGTCCTGGTTTTTAAGATAATTAATAAAAACACTACGTTTCGGAAACTGGATCTGTTTCCGTCCTCAGGTGAAGGAAAACACCTATTCTGTTGGGTCCATTAGAAAGAGCTAAAGTCCAAAAACCCAATATATCAGTGTGTTATACACCATCGTCAGAATCCTATAGTAACTACTCCATTATCATGTTAAGGCCTTTTATGAACAAGCATTATATTTTCACTATTACTATGGAGATAATTAATTTTAATTGGTTCTCTATGGGTGTGAAACTTGGTCTCTGACATTAAGGGAGGTATATAGACTGAGGGTGTTTGAGAACAGGGTGTTGAGGAGAATATTTGGACCAAAGAGAGATGAAGTCACAGGAGGTTGGAGAAAATGCATAATGAGGAGCTTCATAACTTGTACTCTTCTCCAAGTATAATTAGAATGATCAAGTCAAGGAGGATGAGGTCGGCAGGTCATGTAGCATGAATGTGGGAGACGAGGAATGCATATAGGATATTGGTGGGAAAGCCAGAAAGAAAGAGACCACAGGGGAGACCAAGGTGTAGGTGGGTGGACAATATTAGAACGGATCTTAAGAGAGATAGGATGGGATGGTATGGATTGGATAGATCTGGCTCAGGATAGGGACCAGTGGAGGGCTCTTGTGAACACGGTGATGAACCTTCAGGTTCCATAAAATGTTGGGAAATTCTTGAGTAGCTGCAGAATTGGCGGCTCCTCAAGAAGGGCTCAGCTCCATGAGTAAGTAAGTAAGAAATATATATAAAAGGATATGTACTAGCCATGAAATCCATCATTTGTGAACAACGTAAGTGCATTTTCATTTGTTAGTATCAATTCCAAATATTTTAACTTTACCAAACTTTCAGAGGATCCACTTGCTGTTCTTATGCTATGGCTTTGTCCTACATTCTGGTGATGAGATATCAACATACTGTGACATGACGCCTGAAAGCCAGAGTAAACGATCATTGCTAGGCAATGACTCGGTAAACAGGTTTCCTCAGTAACAAATAAGCAAGCAACAATTGAATTATTGTTGGGCTATAACAAAGGAAACAGTGTTTGCTGTTGGATCCGTCCAAAGAATATATAATAATGATATCAGACCAGCTGAGGAAAGAACTGAGGGAGTCTCTTGAGACAGCAATTGAAGATGATTGAGAAGAGACTGTAATGAATTTGAAAGTCAGCCTGTGAAGAGAAGACTTTAAGTGTGGTAATAACTGTGCTGAAATCCATTGCGAGATACAACTAGTGAAGATTGAGAACCCAAGTGTGTGTGTGTGTGTGTGTGTGTGACAGTGAACTGCAAAGTATGTAAATCAGCGATAGGACTGTACTTCTTGTAGTTATGAGTTGAGCATATAAGTGCAATAAATCCAATTATCCAATCCATATCCTGCCTATAGTCACACAACCCTACTACACATGACAATATATTTAGTTTTTCTTAATTTACTTCTAGACCAACCTCTTTACAAGTATCTAATTCAAGTCTGTGTTTTTTTCCATATGGCATTTATGTTTTTGCCCAAGAAATTAATATCATCAGTACACATCTGAAGCTGATGTGTCCCACTAAATTTCAGTACCTCCTAATTTTCTTGGACCTTCCTAATAGTGCACTCTAAAACAAAGTTGAAGAGTAATGGCAATAAAGCATCTCACTGTTTCAGATCATTCTGGAAAGGGAACAGATTGGGCAAATTTTTACCTGCATAGATTTCACTATAGGTTTCACTTAAACACATGTCATTTAACCCTACAGATTCATAGGTACACCAGATTCTCTTGGCAAATCTCAGTGACGACAAAATATAAAACCACTGTGTCCCAACAGCAAGCCCAGCAGTTGTTATACAACTCTAAATGAAATAGCCATTGAATTTGGCTGCCAGAAAGTGCAATGTGCATTTTATAGGCAGACAAATGATTTTAAATTGTAATGTTATAATTGTTTCAGTCTTATCTCCATAGCATAGCAGTATGAAAAAGTAACACTAAAACTGTGTGAGAAGTACATTATTCACATAAGTAATGATTAGATGAATTACCTAGGTGCATCATTGATGAGAGCAAGTTTCCCAAAATCATCGCCTTCTTGCAATGTGGTTACTGTTCCCTTTCCATGTATCACAACATCCACTGAGCCATGCAGGATGATGTACCATGAACGACCTTCATCTCCTTGATTAAATACTGCAACAGTATTTACAGCAATATAAATATTCAACATAATCTCTATACTACAAATCTCTGTGCAATAAGTAAATAAATAAACTAATTAATTAATTAATTAATACACAACACAAAATAAAATTCCTAGGCCTTTGAAAGGTTTACTGCAGCATATCTTCTTCATCTTATCACAAATAGTGCATTAAAGAAATGATGAGGGTTTTACTGCATGAAGGTTTCATATAATTAGCACAGTTAGGACACTATTATTGTATAGTGAAGTATCACAGTGGTATCGTTTAAAATGTGAGAAGATAAAGATTTGTGTCAATGATTTTAAGTGAGTTCACAAAATTCCATAACATCTGCTTCTTTCTATCTGTCAAACAAGTAAGTTATATTTGATGGGCACTGCTTGCCACCTGCTTTCATGTTTGTTTCTTGTTTGTCTTGTTCTTTGAACCCATAGAGGCAACATGTTTCTCCAAAATGTCAGTTTACTTTCAACGGATGACATGACATTATATCTCAGAAGATAAAACTCTATATAACCACCACTGTGAAAACCTCAGATCCAACACATTTTGATGGAATCTGGTACAGCAGATTTATACTAAAACATACTTATCAAATTTTATTTTGAATCACATCAGTCCATTAGCGTTACAATGAGGCAAAGATAAACTTTATCTCTATCAACTATCAGATCTCCTAATTCTCATTATGTTTAATGCAGCAGGTACCAAGAAATTTTTAGCCAATCTNAGACCGTGAGAAACTGTAAAAGCAGACTGTGTGGCACCATGTATATGTGGTGTTAACCGACGTTTCGGAGGAACGTATCGCCTCCATCTTCAGGGTAGAAGACAAAGTATAAGAAATCTGCAAGCGACAAGACCACATATACACGGTGCCAAATCCCAGAAGACTGCTTTCTTCATACTTGCTCAGTGTTGCCATCAGATAAAGATGAAAGCACCAGTGATAAATATATGTTAAGAAATATTCTGCATAATTGCCAGTCTTTTGTTGTCATGCTGGAATAGATGTGTGAGGGATTTTGGACATACTACATAGGTAAGTCAATAAGTAAGTTACAAATGGATATAGAACTTTGACTTGAAAAATGCTCTATTTCTCAACATAATCTCCCTGTACATTGAGGCACCTGTCCCATTGTTTCACAAGCCCTTGAAAACCAGCAGCATAAAATTCTTTGGGCTGCTGTTGGAACCAGGCGGTGACTGGGATCACGAAGGCATACTGCTCACCACATTCCAGCCTCAAGGACAAACCATAAATGCCGACTCCTACCGTAACATCCTCAGGAAACTTCATAGGGCCATTCAACGGAAGCGACCAGGACTCCTCACCAAATGCATGTTGCTCTTGCATGACAATGCACGTCCCCATACTGCCAACAAGACAAATGAGACACTGCGAAATATCAATTGGGAAGTCCTCGAGCATCCTCCATATAGCCCCGACCTTGCTCCAAGCAACTTCCATTTGTTCGGCCCTCTTAAACATCATCTTTCAGCTGAATATTTTCATGACGATGAAGCTGTAGAAAGGGAATTCACCGCCTGGTTCCAACAGCAGCCCAAAGAATTTTATGCTGCTGGTTTTCAGGGGCTTGTGAAACAATGGGACAAGTGCCTCAATGTACAGGGAGACTGTGTTGAGAAATAAAAGCATTTTTCAAATCAGTACTCTTATTTGTTTAAGTTCTATATCCATTTGTAACTTACTTATTGACTTACCCTTGTATATTACAGAATATATAGATGTTGAGGAACACCCTTTTCTGTTAACTACGTATGTATGTAAGGAGTGGGCCATAAAAACCGGCCCCTGCACTGCAACATTCAATGATCTATTGTGCTTTTTCAGTTAACTACATAGGAGGAAACCTTATGACAAAAATATAAAAACTGGATATGTAGTAGGTAAAGAAATGAGAAAGAGAAGTTACTATAGAAATGCGAATGAATTATTTGATTCTGATATCGGCCATCATTTTGCCATGGCCTCCCACTATGGCATTCGCAATCATTCTCTACAGCACAATTTACAATATGCTTTCTTAATGCACATTAACTCAGCTGTATTATTCGTACTACAAGATTTTAACATACACTATGAGAAAAACTTACACACAGTTCCAGCATGTGGGTGTGCCTCAAAGACTATAACAGCAGCAAGTTCACGTTTGACAGAGTTTGACAGATGGGACAGTGCCTTAATGTGCAGCAACTCTTCATAGATCATCTCTAGGTCATCTACAGTTCTCTCATATGATCTACAAACATAATTACAAGTGCAGATGATGCCATGAGAATGTACTGTAGTCATAAAAGTGGAGATTATTCTGAATTCGAGACATTGTCTAATTTTGAAATTGCGCTGAAAGAAAATATGCATAAGCTTACTGTTGCATATCATATTACTAATGCTACTTCTTTAGTTAGCTGATATAGGGGTGAGAGAAGTTCTTTACAAGTTTGGGACAAGGTAACAAACACTTAAAATAATCAAAATATACATTTTGTGAAGGAAATTTGAAAAAAAAAAGAAAATCACATAATGAGTTTCAAACAGAAAATATAAGATATTTTCCTCTTTGCAATAACTTCCAGTCCTGCAAATCCTGCATTACTTTTGTTATTCTTAGGTAATATAAGTTTATAATCAAATAACAAGATGCAGTTTAGCTCAAGGTCTAGTGTGCTAGACTCATGCACAGATGGACATAAAATCAAATTATAGTTAAATAAAATATTGTAAAGCATAGTACTGTTGTTTTGCAGTAATTGTGAGAAGGAATGCGTGTTTCTTGGTAATGGCCAGTAAACATGTTCTCACAGAAACCATATCCAGTCTATTGCTATACAACCGCGATGACAATATTAGGATCGTTGCAGGTGGTGTTTTCTGTTGGGTCCGCCCTGAGGTTATATAACAAAAATACCAGCCGAGCCGCGGTCAGAACCAGTGTGGAGATGGGGTTGAATACCTCCACGGTGACCCTGTGAGTTCTAGGAGGTGATAAAAAGGATAGTCTCAAATCTAAGACAGTAAAATATGGTCGTGAGTTGCAAGGAACTCAGACCCAAGAAAGACTGTGCTGTCAAGGACCAGCAGCATATACAAAAGATGGACCCATCCTCTCATCCAAGAGGGTGACCAACGAAAGCAAAAACGTAACTGTCAAACAGTAATAAATATCTGGTCATGATCACCAGATGGGGCTCAACACCAAGACTGACCTGACTGACCTGACTGACCTGACTGACCTGACTGACTGACTGACTGTCAGTCACAATGTGACTTTGACTTTGACTTGCTGCAGTCAGCTGTCAGCAGTTCAGTTGAGTGAAGTGGCATGAAGTAGCTGATTGGTGTATGAGAGAGTTCATTCGAAAGTAAGCCTGTGAAGAGTAGATTAGGAGGTTGGTCATTCCAACCTCACAAGTTCTTCCATCCACCATGCTGTTATTACCGACTGTATGAAATCAAAAGATATGATGCGCGTCAAATGTCAGGAAGTCTGTACTGAGTTTTGTGAAAGTCAGTCAAATGGTTCATAAGCTGAAATGGGGGACACAGACACGCACAGACAAACACACAGAAAGATGGCATATACAGACACACAAGTAGCATTCAGAGATTCAGACGGCCACATGCACACAGCACGATGATCTCATGAGCCTATTTTCCCCCTGCTGAAGAAGAGGAGGTTAGAAATGAATGTATTCTGGGTGAATTTATATGAGATTCTTATCTTTTCATGTTCCATGAAAATATGTATATATGATGTACTGTAGCATGTCTCTTATTACTACAAGAATACTTCCTGTTGAAAAAATGTAAAAAAGTACAGTCCATTTAACCTCCTTATTAATTTATTATTCTTTATAACTATTATAAGGAGAGCAACATTTGAGGTTGGTGAGAAATTAGGCAAACCTTGGGTGACAATGAACTTTATGGAGTGAACTGAAAGTATAATAAAACTTTATTGGAAACTTAAATCTTTTTGTCCCCACATCCATCCATCTGCAACCTCAGATCTGTAATGCTTTCATTTTGTGTAAATGGGCTGCAGGAAGATTATATACTGACAATTGTCACTATAATATAAACATAACACAGCTACCACACAGCTACTGCTCTCCGCATTCCAAGCCATTCAACTGCTCTGAAGATGGATGTGCTACGTTCCTCCGAAACGTCGGCCAACATGAAGAATACACGGTGCCTAAACCCAGAAGACGACTCTCTTCATAGTCACCGCCGCAAAAACCTCAAAACTTACATAACATGATACTCTTTGCAAATATATGATATGGCAAGAAATACATTTACATATTTTATATATAATATAGCCGCCCGCCAACGTACAGCTGCCATGACTATTGCTCAAGATGAGTTCTTTATCTCGGGGATACGGGTGCTTCGGATATGGGAGTGGAACACACTTCGGGGTTCATGAATTACGGGGTCTCCAGAACACACCATGTATTGCAGTCTTAATTTAAAATTTCGTACAGTGATCAGTCTTTACATTAGTCCTCCAAGCGAGCCACTCTGTCACTCTTAACCTTTTTATGCCAATTTGCTCCCAGCTTGCTGACCATACACACCACCCGCTAGCTACCTTCCTGTAACTCACTTCCCTGTTCTGCGTCTCCCTTTTCAACTGACCACCTCCGCTCTCTGTGTAAACAACTGCCCTCTCTTTACAAGTCCCCCAGTGGGCATAAAACAAAACAAGAAAAATAACAAGAGAAAGCCAAGGGTCGAGCCCGGCATCTGTCCTACATTTCTATTTTTTCGAGATGCCCATCATAAACCTTTTTAGGTCTTCAAGGCACAGGAGCAGGGAACCCAAGACCCCTCCTGGCTGGTCTCACACAATGTCAGCCCATGGATTTATGACACTAGGAGCAAACTGGCGATGTTAGGGACAGTAGTGACACCCTAAGCCTAAGGAAACAATAGTTGAATTACAACTGGACGGTCCCGGGATGGTATCTCACTAGAGGAGCGTCTCTCAGGGTGTGAAACAACGCATAAATTCATCATGCCCTTAATTAAATAATTTTAGCGAGGGACATATGGTTACAATAATTTAACCCTTATTTTTTTAACAGTTTGATACATGTAATTTTATAGTTCATATAAGCTATATATTACTTATGTTACCGAGCAAGTTGGTCCAAGCAGTAATGCTTTTGGGTTGCATTTGGGAGGTGTCCTGTTCAAAATCTCACCCAAAACACTGCTTAACCTAACTAAGGTTTTCACATTTTTCTTCATTCTCTCCAGATGAATGCAGTGATATTGCCTTCAAAGAGACTGTAACTGCTTCCTCCCCAGTCCATTCAAGTTCACTGAATGTGATCATTTTCTCATGTTATTTGATGCTAAATATCTGCTGTGCTTGATACAGAATATTTAAATAACCTATGATCCACTTATATTATATTGTAACAGAATGTCTGAAAGCCAGAGTAGTGAAGTCAGAATAGACGTTCATCCCTAGGCAACGACCCAGTAAACACATGTCTGCAGCAATGAACATGCAAGCAACAACCGAGTAAATCCCGTTGCTATGCAACATGGTTATAAAGTGATTATAAAGAAGAGTTTATCTGAGAAGTCATAATCGAATCAAGTCGAGGTTTGAGATGCCAGCCTGTCTGGATACGAGTCTGGGAGCAGAGGAATTGAATTGTGTTGACAGTTGCAGAATAATGGCAAGAAAGGAATTAGGCAGTGCAAAGAAGGCTTCATGCGTGATTTGAAGTGACAGTGAGACTGTTATAAATCCCTTGCCAGGATATGACTAGTGAAAACTGAAAACCCCAGTGTGGGTGCAATGGTGAACTGTAAAGTGTGTGGATCAGCAGTAGGGCTGTGTTGCCTGTAGTCCCGAGTTGTGTATAAGATGTCAATAAATCCAATCATCCAGTCCATAATCCCACCTTCTAAGTCACTCCTATACATGACAATATACTGAAATTAAAATGCATGCATTGTCTTCTTTTGAATACAGACACTTTAACTCCTCAGCAAAACAAACTCACGGTTTGCGTAGTATCATCCTCATGGTGGCATCTGGCCCCTTCTGAGCAAGCACATTGAGGCTTGCGTTCAACTGATCCTCAGCCTGAACTACCTCATCCTGTGTTGGGAAGTCTGTTGCACCTTCTTCATCCTGCCAGAACCTGTACAGTAATGCCTTGTCTCTGAAGGGATGTTCACCTGTAACTGTGAGATACAGTTACCATAGGTTTAGTAGGCTTTCCCACAACATATATTAAAATCTAATATTTACTTCCTTGTGATTTTAGGAAGAGTCATTAAAATTAGTCTATAACTATGTCACAAAATGTTCACATTTTTACTTACTCATTCACCATCTTCTTCCAAAGGACTATTGAAGAGCTTTCCAGTATAATACACATTGCCAATGGCTCAGTTATGATTAAATTTCTATATGCAGATCCTGTCCATACCAGAGGGTCTACTGCTGCATGCAAATATTCATTCAAATCTATCCTCCTGCAGTTACTGATGTGAAATATTCTAATGTCTCGATTGTTCTTTCACAGTCTCTCATACATGATTTATCTAAGACATATACTGACATTCCCCGTGACCTTTTCCCCCATATTTCTACCTTAGATATTTTTTTAAGAATCACCAAACTTTCAATTCTTTTACTATGGCCAAAACGTCCACCGCCACCCCCCATTGCAACTGGGTAATACTTGACAAAAATGAAAAGTAAAGAAAGCCTGTCTTTATTGTAGCATGTACAGCTATTACAATGTGATGACCATGAGATAATCGAATATACCATAGAAGTTTCTAGCCAACAGTTCGGTAAAAACATTCCTGAAGAAATAAATTGATATGCAACAATGAAAGTACTGCCGGAAACACGGTGTTTCTATGTGGTCTGTGCTAAGGAGTTATCTTGAAGATAACGTGGCAACCTAGTCAGTTCTGTATGGGAGTCTGCGAAGACAGGACTTGAACACGTGAAGATGAAGAATCTGCATTGTTAGGAGACATTTCCAGGGAATTGCTGCTGAAGACACAGCAGGCTGGAAAAAGGTTTAGCAAGTTCTGTGATGATTTGTGAATTGTGGTGATTAGCAGTGGTGCTGTAACTGTGTGTAGTTCCAAGTTGTGTATGTAAGTGGTCAATAAATACATTGAACAATGCAAACCCTGTAACCATCCCTCCTTCCTTCTGCCTGCGGCTCTGTCTGAATAGTAATGCAGGGAGAGGGAGTCGATGGCGATCGGCCCCTCTGCTCCGATGACCACTTTGACACTGCCCTACCTGGTGTTGCCGCTGCTGAAGTTGCTTGACCCGGCTCCACTGCTTCTTCCTTCAGTTGAGATTATTAGTGTTTGGATTTCAGGATTGGATCCAATAATATGGGCGCCAGCAAACAGCTAGAGGCTATTTACGATTCATAGTAAGTGGGAAAGGGGTGAGCATGTGGCAGCTGACGCTGGGTTTGACTAGCTAGTGGAGATGAGTCTCTCTTCAGGTCGAATACGGGTCAGGCTTGGACAAGTGAGGATGAAACACCTCTAATCAACCAATTCACTCTACCACCACTTTACTGTTGTTCATCTTAAAGACACCCGGCTGCATAAATTCTCACAATCTGATTTAGTTTGGCTTACAAGCGGCTGGTGTTACACTTACACTAAAATGCAGCGGCCTCCATAGTCTAGGGGTAACTTTCCCACCTCATGATTCAAGGTACGTGGGTTCAAACCTGGTGGAGGTCGTGGAATTTTTAAGGGCGGAAAAATTCAGGGAACAAGTCCTCCGGGAGGGACTTTAAGCCGTGGGTCCCGTGTCGTAGCTTTACGGCACGTAAAAGAACCTCACGTCTCAAGGAGGCCTCTGAGCCNTTCAGCTCGCCAAATTCCTTTGTGCCGCACTCTTGTTGATTAAGCTAACTCTCCATATGAGTCGTTATGAGAGCAAAATTTTGTACTTCTTAATTATCTTTCAGCGCCAGTGATGTGGGGTTTGCCTCCGCCAAGTTCAAAAGTTGATATACGACTAAAAATCTTAGAATGAACTCTCTGCCGAGCCAGAGGTCCTAACTGAGTTGTATCTGCCTATTCTCCTCTCCTTCTAATTTCCTTGATAGGTCGATTCAAATAAGGGGAGTTGGCTTAATTTTGTTCTGGCCAATGACAGATTATTTTTAAGGGAATTTCGTCCTAAAAGACAAAACGGCGAAATTGACAGTGATGCAACTTATGAGGGGTCACTAATGATCTCCTGGCACTCCTACTTCTGACTTACCACTGGCAGAAACTGTGACTTCTCAAATTCTCAAAATGTCTTGCCGCTGCAAGGCTAATTCTCAATTTCTAAAGAAACTCGGTGGAGAGTCTTGAAGTATCACTTTCTGCCCTTTTGGAAAATGACACCAGATGCTTGGATGCAAGGACTAGCAGATGTCCTTGTCCATGCAAGTTTGGTCTACCTGTTCATCACCTATTCCTTGTTCTTACAGTGTGTCTTAATTAAACCTTTGTCTCTTCGTAACGTATTAACTCTATTAGCGTCTGAAAAAGGGGGGGGGGGAAGGATTTCAATGGTGCGGTTACAACCCTGTCTACTGTCACACATCGTGTGCCACAATATCAAAACATGCTTCCGCGGTGTGTTTTAAACCTTGTCTAAAAATGAATATAGTGTGTAGAATATTCACATCATCAAAACAACATAGGACATCTGCATAATACATATCCCAAATAACTGAAAATTTAATTTGTCACAGAATCCTATAATGAATGCATATCTTGCTTCTAACTGGTTCTATTCATCTGATAACCATTATTAGTATTTTTAATGTTCATCTTAATGGAAAAATTTGCGGCTACATTCTTTAAATTGTACGGTGAGCAATGTGTACAATTTTCTGCAATGTCCAGAGGGATCTTTGCATTTGCATATAGCACCGTACCAATGTTTAAAATTCTTCTAATCTGGATGTTTCCATGTCTGATCAATCTCATTTTTCTTATTATTTTGTTCATGTATATGATAGATAATAATGGTAAGAGACACAGAGTTGTTTCACATCGTCATTAATTTCTTTCCTTTCGTAGACTTTGGATGGTATTTATATTTCTAGGGCAATGGTCTTGACTTACCATGAACTATTACTCCTTCCTCCAATAATGCCTGCCACATTCCAGCAGCTTGGTGTCTGGAGTGGATGCTGGGACTCAGAGTCATAATCCAGTCAACAAGCTCAGTACCAGTGGAACTGCGCCGGTATACACGGTTTGAAGGCTTGTGATCTCTGAGTATTGATGGTGAGCAATGTGCCAGCAGCAACGTCCGTAGTGTCCAGCCAATTCCCGACATCTGAGGGCTTGGAGACTGCATGGCCACCCAGGAAGATAAACAGAACATTACATCCCACATTAAAAGGAGTCATGTGTAAAATGCATCGCTTAGGTGCATTATTACAATAAGATTTTGTTTGGGTATTATGGTTTTTAATTGCTAATGACTGAATGAAATATCATCATGGTAGAGACTGAACCAACAACCTCTTGCTTATTAGACACATCTTTAGATAGTTGGCCATTGTGATCCTCAGCTCACAGTTGTTGGTGTTTGTTTGGACATACAGGGTTTGTTGTGAGTTATCATGTATGTGTCGCTACACACAACTTCTAGACTATGTGAAAGAACTTTGTCTTTCAACAACAGGGAAAATTTACATAAGGTTTTGTGTCACATCATGATACGAGTAAATATATGTTGCACCAATACGAAAATGTCACCTATCCATTTACTGGAGGGAAGAACTGGCACCCCAAGAAGGATCATCTAGTATTAACTGTCCAGCAATTTAAATGTTGCAGGATTATTCAGTCAACCTGGGTTATCATCATGTATGAATTTTTTGTCTCTTAAGTAATGTATGAAAAAGAATTGCTTAAACACAGTCTCTGTTTGTGTGCAAAAATTGCAACATTATTACAGAAAGGCCACAAATATTTGAAATTCTGCATCCACACACACATGTGCGCGCGCATGATTTTAAATATTCACCGAAAATCACTTTTCTGAATATCCTGTGTACTTCCTCTGTCTCATAAGTTACTTCAAGCAATGTTCTAAGAAAGCTCATATCCTACACACTCTCTACATTTCAGTTTAAATTAAAATACAGAACAAATACCAGAAACAGCATACATGGAATTACGTAGGACGTCATTGTAGAGGATCTGTTCTGGCTTAGCAAATTATAAACACAACACACAGATGAAATGTGCAAATTGGACAGAGTAGGAAAAAGCAGCATATACCTGAGTCCATTCAGGCCCATGGAAACATAGGTGGAAGGTAACATTTGTTGCATAAGGCAGACTGTTTTCTATTAATGATTCATTTTGATAATGTTCACTGAGAGTTGGGATCTGCCTTTGTTATGGTAATTTCTTCCCTTCTGGTCACTATTCAATTCACACAGAATGTTTCCTAGGACTAGCTCAGCCTATGTAGCTGCACAAAGTGAAATTATAAAAAATGAAGGACCCATCAATATTGTCATTAAGTAAAATAAAGCATGGTAAATTTGTTCCTGTGTTTAATTAAGCGTCACACAATGAAGACATATGGGTAGTGAAGGTACAGCTCCATTCATTCTTAGCCTCAGCACTAGATAGAGTTTGGCAGTCAGATTCATATTTCAGTCGCTTCACCTGCCAGGAAAAAAATCCTGGTACCCACTATAGGAGACTGGATGGGCCTCAGAGCTAATCTGAACTTTAAGAAGAAAGAAAAATCCCTTCCACTTGCTTGGAACTTAAACTTCAATTTATATACCCCCTAATCATATTAAATGTGAACTTACCAAAAACAGAGACACAGTTTGCCAACTAAAGCCTCTTTGTGTGGGGCGACACAAGGAAATTCTCTCAGAGTGCTCAGTACATTGCAATCTTAGGCACTTGGCTCTATTGCAAGAATGAGTGACTTGCTTGGATAACAAGACAAGATACAAATAGATGAGTGATGGTGACATAGTGTCATCACATGACCATGACCTACAGAATTAATACAATAGATACATTCTCAGTCTGTGATATATCCAATCCGTCAATATTAGCAACTGATCTGCCCTTTTCATTGATCTCTCAAAAGCTATGGAATTCGGGTGCTTAATCATACCCCTAAATTATAAACAAAATTCTTAAAACTATTCTGGTGCTTAATCAATCATACCCATAAGTTATACACAAAATTCTTAAAACTACAGCAGTTTTTATTGTTTTCTCATTAAGAAATTGACTTCCACATTCAGTATAGTAAATATATGTACATATGTTTCTCTTTTGAGAAGAGATTTCACATGTGACAGTTACAAGCACAAAACCTAGGCCTCAAGCCGGAAATAATACATCACTTGTACAGAGATCTTTTAATCAACTTATGCCTTTCAGAATGATTTACAGCTTAACCTTTCCTTCGGAGCACCATTTATGTAGGTCTTTCATTTTCTCTGGTCCTCCAGGTTTGGGGCTGGGTGCAATGCTGATGACCTTACTCTGTAAAAAGTTATTGCTGCAAAATCCAAAGTCAGAATTGAATGATCTAACTCAAGAGAAATCTGGCAGAATTTTCTAAGAAAGGTTATTATTCTGAAGGGCTATTTTGTCAGTTATATCGTCGTCATCGTCGTCGTCGTCGTCATCATCAGTATTCCTTTACTATCATAAAGCTAGGTGAAAATTGAGTGGGAAATTGTTGTTATGAACATGAATAACAGTACTGCATCTGGAGCATACCATCTATTGAGAAAACAATTCCTGTGAATGTGTAACACTTCTGCCTACAGAAAAGAAATACTTCTTAAAAAATATCTAACTTCAATAGCATGAAAAAGTGCGCAGAGAGCTATATTTGTATCAGAACATGAACTAAAAGGAAATAATATGCACAGTACTGCTGCTTTCTATGTGTACACTACGTATGAACTTGTAATGGTGGATAACTACAATATAAAGTAAGGCTTACCTTCCCCTGGTGGTTACTGTTGGAAACTTCTGCTCCCATTGCCTCTACTACCAAATTTCTTAACTACTATTATACATTGACAGAACAGACTTTTATATGTATATAAGGATTCATTCTAATTATTAGTTTTACTTCTGTTTGCAATTTATTGCTTATACAATCTACACACATAACCCCTTTACTACACAGAGAGGATCCTACACAATTACAGTTTATTAACATCAACATATATTTACTTCTATACTTACATCATTTTTAGAAAGGGCATGTTCCCTAAAACTTAATTCCTTTTATTCAACGTTATACTGCCTGAAATATACCACAGAACAGCTTTGAGTGCTGTTTTAATAATACATATATGTAGTAGTATTCAGGTAGGTTATTCATGTTGCTAAAAATTATTGTTTTCTGAAGAAATATTCTCTGAGTTGCCTACACATCACCACTAATAAAAATATCTTATGTGCAGTGGAATATGAACTACTTTCAACTCAGGTTATCACTTGAAATTGAAAGGCTGACTGTAGGGACAGTCTGCTCTTTCTGTTAAAATACATTCAAATGCTCACTTCAGCTATTGCTTGTGCATACCTCTGTAATGGGCCCACAGGGGCTGGGGTTGTCTGGGCTCAGTGGTCGCCTTGATGATGATGGGGGCGGAGACTGGGGTGTAGGAGACGGAGATTTGGCCAAGGCAGCTGGTCCAAAACCTGAGAAAAAAGAACAGAACAATAACTTAAGGGCCACACACAACAACAATGAAGTGTCTGACCTCAGAAGACGTTGAAGTAACTATTGTGAGACGTCATTACAGTCACCTCATTTTGTGTTCTGAAGTCCCTTCTATGAAGCAGCATGTTTGTGTCATGCATGCAGTTTAGATTTGAATGGAAAGTGTCTTGATTCTTTTTATATGGGATATTTTACAGCGGCATCAGTATGCAGAGCACAGAGCATAATTTGTTATTGTATACAGATTAAATACAGTTTAATTTAAACATTAGGGGGTACGCGGTAGCGTAGTTGGTTGAGGGGCTATGCTACAAGCCGGAAGGTCGCGGGTTCAAGTCCTGATGAGGTCATCGGATTTTTTTCAGTCGACCTAATCCTTCCAGCCGCACTAGGCCTTGGGGTTTACTCAGCCTCTAACAGGAATGAGTACCAGGAATTAATTAAATAATTTTCCTGGGGAGTAAAGATCGGCCGGCGCGTAAGGCTGATGACCTTACCGCCATCTTTGAGCCGACTGTCTAGATAATGTGGGAGCCTCAACGTCTCACAACCCTATGGGCCTTCATGGCCTGGTACAGGGATAGCTTTACTTTTACTTAATTTAAACATTAACGGAAAATAATATATGCTTGTTATGAATCTAAGGATACCCTGTCAGCTGGCCGTGAAAGGTAAAAGCAAACTTGTTCCTGTGCTTAATTAATTAAGTACCACGGAATGAAGATATATGAGTATAGTTCCACCATTTTTATCTAGGCACTAGACGGAGGTCAGTTGTTAGCTTCACGCTACAGCCACTTTACCCCAGCGAAAGAGTCCCCGGTACCTATTGTGTGGGAGGCCGGATGGGTCCCAGAGCCGGTCTGGACGATGTGGAGTAGGGAAGTCTCTTGCTTCTGCCATCCAGCCCGTAGCCCATCGCTATACCGGCTCCTTTTCATATGGTCTACTTACGCTTATTCTGCTACCAATTCTAACACGGAGAAAACGCAACAGTGTCAAGGTACTTTTATACCTATTATGGATATTACAATAGAAGCACAAATAGCTCAGTCGGTATAGCGACTGGCTATGGGCTGGATGACAAGGGGTCGGAGTTCGAGTCCCTTTAGCGTCAAGAATTTTGTCTTCTCCACGTAGTCCAGGTCGGCTCTGGGGTCCACCCAACCTCCTATCCAATGGGTACCGGGGCTCGTTCCCCGGGGGTAAAGCGGCCGGGGCGTGACGCTGACCACTCACCTCTAACTAGTGCCGAGGTTAAGAAAATGTGGATCTATATATCCGCTCCCCCATGCGCCTTCATGGAGTAGTGATTAATTAAGCACAGGGACAGCTTTACATTTTATGCCTATTAAAATTGTGTCTAAGTGGCAATATCCTGGACATTTGGAATGTAAAAGAAAATGGTAGCTAGCAAGCTTCGAAATAATTCAGAGAATTCCATATTGACGATAAAGTACCCTTGTGATAATCCGAAATCGTACAAGTTTTACACGTAATTGTAAAGGAAACATCATGATAATGGTCTCACTTACCATTCTTGAGTTTGTTGTTGGCAACAATATCTCCCATGCACTCCTTGTTTTTCTGAAAGCACAAGAATGAAGTTCAGATTCTTATAATTCCTTCCTAATAGTGAACATAACAGTGTCAGAATATTCAGCTAGCTGATTCGATGTGTTAACTGCCTAAAGCAGCCGTGTCAAACATGCGGCCCCCATAGCCACAAAGTGCGGCCCCTCAACTTTTAGAGCTAATTGATATTAAAATCAATATTAAAATTTTAGTAGAAATATTTTTTGTAAAGACAATTTCCGAACAGACCAGAAGACAAGAAGTTTCACGCAGATATAAACTAGCAGGCTGCAGGAAAATTGATTCTGAGAACTGCAGAAGGGTTTGTCCAACTAACGGTTTGTAAAGTTCGTGAAGGACAAACTATTGTATTTCAGAAGGTTAATGCACTAAAATTCGCACAGCCTCACCACCCCAAGTATTTCCAAGAATCCCTTTTGGAGGCGTAGTAAGAATGCAAGGAGGGTGGCACCTGACAGAAAAGTGCAAGGGATTTCTGCCTTCAAAACTAGCTTGCAGCCCTCGGTCATTTTCCAATGGGCTGCTAGCAAACTTTCACTTTTATGACCATTGAGACAAGATACACCTTTCTACTAGTCCGGTAGTCTCTTGTACATTGTCATTCAGTTCATTTTCACACAGCGGCAGGTGCTGATGTTACACTGTGATGAACGTATAAAGGTTATAATTAAACATTAAATTATCAACTACGAGTTTTCTTGTATATGTACAGTGACTTTTAAAGGGCAATGTCGCTTTCAAAAAATTCAAGTAGCAGAAAAAGGACTCTTGAAAGTGAGCGCCGTGTTTTTCAAGAAAAATGGGAAATCGCTTATTTCTGTTGTGAAACAGAAGGTAAAATTACATGTTTGATTTGTGGACAAAATATAATTGTTCCACTTTAGGTAATTATATTGAAATTATTCCTAAATAATAAATAGAATTAAATTTCCTTGTATCAAAATCTATATTTCTATTTTGAAGAAGTGCGGCCCTCGACTATTATTAAGAGGGCTGAGGTGGCCCTCTGTACAAGTTGAGTTTGACATGCCTGGCCTAAAGCAATAAGTAACTACACGCAGAGCATAATAATTCTCTCGAAAATCTTACGTTCTATAGAGAAGTATACTGAACATAAAGCATGTAGTTCATTTTGACTTAAATCTAGTTCGCTCATACAAACATTTAGCGATTTACACTCAAGATGCAAGCAGAAACGCATGTAGGTCTACTTATAGGCTATGCGTCTATTGATACCTGACTTCAACCAAAATTGGAATGTGCTTGCAACGTTTTTGAATTTCTCCAACATCAAATACTACGAGAACATGTTTAACAGTTGTTACATACGGACAGACAGACACATGAAAAGTAAGACTCACTTTTGCAACATATCGTTGCGAAAATGCCAAAAGAAAACAGAATCATGAGAGAGAAAAGAATTTCCACATCGACAGAACCACCAGATGTTGAGGGTCAACACCAAGTATTGACTTGCTATTTGATCACTTTACTAGAGCGCACTTTACTACTGGCTTAGTCTGCTAGCCACCTGCTAACACTGGTTCCTCGCTGCTCGCTTATTTTTCTGCCCTGAAGATGGAGGCAGTACATTCTTCAGAAACTTCGGTTCACACAAGATCTACACAGGGCCACATCCCAGAAAACGGCATTCTTCATAGTGATCGCGGTAAACACCTCAGATCCTACATAGACTGTTCACCTATCGGAAACAGTTTCATATGGCCCACACACATCCCCCCTGATCTGCCTGTCGCTCTTGCGATTGGTAGAGCACAAGCACACAGTTATGAAGCCCCTAATTATGAAATCTAATTCAGCCACTTACAGGGATGTAACAACCGATCCAATGCAGAATCGTTGTAACTCGACGCCTCAGGTTCCCCTTCGTATCCAGCACTTGGTACGTAACGAGTAACACAACGCCACAATCTAGTTATGAAGACATTACTTATCACTTGCAACTCATAATAAATGCTGCTATCTGAAGCCAGGTTTAAGGATGTCACATGCCTCTAAGACAGGAAACTGGCTTTTAACGACCATGCAGAATAAACCTTCACAATTCGTTGTGCCTCACTGTAAATTCGCCACGAAATTAAGTATATCCCCATAGGCAGCCCTGTAACTGGGTAGGGTTACCATACAAGCTACCCGGAGAGTCATATAGTGACGCTGTGTTTTGTCGCACCAGCCCTGGCGGTCAGTCGTCAGCTTCTCTTTGCAGAGTCCCAGGACAGTCCATGGGGAATTTCAGGTGTGAAAAATGAAACAGGAACAAGCTCTCCGAATAGTTCGGCTTTCCCTGTAAATTATCTTTCCATTATTGCTTAACTCTCATCTATCATCACAGACTGGCTTGCGCAACAGGTCAATTTGCGGCCGGAATTGTCCAAAATATCGTAATACTCTCTGGTATTTGTGACAGAAGGCAAAGGTTGAACATCACTAATACCAAACCTCGCCACCGACATCGCTGCATCCTCATTCTGCCAATAACAGGTGACCCGTATAAACCACAGTTACGTTCGCAGCAACTAGTTAACATAGGCGCGTCAAATTCATTTCTATTTATAACTGCTTCAAGAAAGGGACACGAGTGCAGAATTGTATCCATTAAACATTCATAATCAAAATTATAATGGTTTTTTATTTAACCAAAGCTATGAATACGCCTACTCTACGTACTTGTATTACTGTCTACTCGAAAAGCTGCTGTCTGAGAAGGTCAGAGTGCGTACTTTGAAGAAAAGTTATTAATTAATAATTCATAGATGTAAAATCCGAGCTTCGTTAGAAAGAACCAACGACACGATAGATTTACTGATATAATGAGGATAATTAATGTATATCTTTCTGTTCGAAAATACCAACATAATGACTGGATTAAATTAAACAGAGAACACTGTGCCAGAACGTCACGGACTCGATAAATCAGGAAACAAAGCTTAGGTAGTTTGGGCCGTGCCTGGGTTACTTCTTTTACGTAGGCAATCAATTCACTGCAGACCATAAAAAGGCAAAGTGTCCCTGTGCTTAACTAATTAGGCACTACGCCATTAAGACGTATCGGGGAGTGGATGTACAGATCCACGTACTCTTAACTTGGACACTAGTTGGAGATAGGGATCAGCTCCACGCCCGGGCTGTTTCACCCCCGCGGAAAGAGCCCCCGGTACCAACTGGATGGGAGGCTGGGTGGGCCCAAGAACCGGCCTGGACTACGTGGACAGAAGAAAAACCTTGCCCATATGGGGCACTCGAACTCCGACCCCTCGGCCGTCCAGCCCATAACCAGTCGCTATACCGACTGCGCTATATCCGTATCTGAATATCTGTAACTGCTGATCCAGGTTCGAATCTTAGTTTGGGTAATAACTGTTCCTCGTTTTACTCGTATATGCATCTGCACAGACTGCAGACCAGCAATGCAACAGATGTATCCAGTCCCCTGCTCGTGGGAACGTCCAGACGTAAATATCCCGGCAGATTTCTGATCCTGATCAGAGCAGCAGGGCAGTGAGAGTGGAAAGCACACACCATTCGCCCATGCAAGGTACGAAAGCGTTGTTGTCAGTATCTCAATCAGTAAAGCAAATGGCCGGGGGCTGGATGAGTGGACCTCAATTCGCGGAAGGCTCTTTCTCTTCATTAGTACGTCCCGACTGACTCCGCCTCCTTGGCTAGAAGGTAGCGAGGGAACCTTGGCCGGGAGTAAAACTGCCGGAGCGTGAAGTTGACCAATCTCCTCCGTCTAGTGTTGAGGATATGAACGAGTGGAGCTACACTTCCACTCCCATAAGTATCCTCATGTAATGATGCCATAAGCAAAAGGACATTTTAATCTTTTATTCAATACTGCTTCTCCACTTGTTCTACAGTTCCCTTGGGCCCTGGTCTCTGATTTTCAGTTTCATGATCATTTTACAGGTTCTAGTTCGGATAAAGGCCCAAGATGATGAGTGCAAGGTTTTGCCTATGCCTATGTAACGGTCTCGTGTTTGACACTTCACTTGGATTCGCCAGTTACAGAAGAACTCGAGGTCGTGCATAATTTCATGTAATTATGCAGCTCAACTTTTGTTTTGAAGCTGCGGATCAAGAGGCACGCATGATCGGCACAGGTTTCTAGAAGAGTATTCAATCTAATGACATAAAGGTAAGGCAAAGTTGTCCCTATGCTTAATTAAGCACTACTTCATGAAGGCGTATGGGGGAGTGGATGTACTATAGATAGATCCACATTTTCTTGACCTCGGCAGTAGTTGGAAGTTAGTGGTCAGCTTCACTCCCCGACCGTTTTACACCCTGGTAAAAAGCCCCCGTACCCATTGGATAGAAGATTGGGTGGACCCAAGAGCCGGTCTGGACGATGTGGAGAAGAGATATTTCTTTACCCTACCAGGCCTCGAACTCCGACCCCTCGGTCGTCCAGCCCATAGCCAGTCGCTATACCGACTTCGCTATCCCGGCTCCAATCTATTGACATAAATATTAAATACGATCAGACCTCGTATACTCCCTTCTGGGACTTCCACATCGATTTGTTTAACGCTACCCGTAGATGAGACATTCCTGAACCCTGTAATGTTTGTATCCGAAGCAGCCGAGAATAAACTTTATCACGGAAAGTTTGACATTACTGTGATATAACTTTCTGATTATATCTGGGTACCAGACATTGCCGAGCACGCAGTCACTGTCTAGATATAGCGTTGCCTTCGAACTGTTGTGATTCGACACATGACCTGCGTGTTCATTCCATTCTTTGAGGAAGGTAATAGTGGAACATTTGCTATTTGGCTGTGACTACCAAGTTCTCGTGAAGAAAATGCTACAGGTATTTTTTCTCCCCGACAGTTAGCTTTTTGCACTCGGTAATCGCACTGTCGTCTGATTTCTAGAGACATTTAAAGTTCAACTGTATAATATCAACCATCCAGTCTCTTAGTGGATAACACACTGTGCCTTCATGACGAAGATCGGGTACG